AAAACCTAAAATGGGATTATCAGCAAGGGATTGGGATGAGGGGCAGGAAAAGGAGCTGTCACCCCAAACCTGGGCGTTCCTTACCCTGCTGTAGCTGCATGTCCCTGACTTTCCCCTGGAATGTGAGGAGTCTGTGGGCATTTGAGTGTTGAACTTAAATTTAACACCGCCAGGAGTGGTTTGGAGCAGGATTGAGCAGCTGGGCTTGGACACACAGCACTCCTGGGGCACTTTGATTCCTTTTGGGGTTTTCTGTGCCCTGACAAGGTGTGTGCCATGACTGAGGGGCTGCATCAGCGCCACAGGGGACAGGGACGGTGACAACACGTCACTTACAACAGGGGGTGGGTGATGGGGTGGTCCCTGCGGTGGCAGTCACATTCGGGGTGTGACAGGGGCGGTCCCCAGATGTGTCTGTCACACTGGGGGTGGGACAGGGGCGGTCCCCAGATGTGTCTGTCATTTTGGGGGTGTGACAAAGGATGTCCCTGTCCCTGTCAGTCACACTGGGGGTGGGACAAAGGATGTCCCTGTCCCTGTCAGTCACACTGGGGGTGGGACAAAGGATGTCCCTGTCCCTGTCAGTCACACTGGGGATGGGACAAAGGATGTCCCTGTCCCTGTCAGTCACACTGGAGGCGGGACAAAGGATGTCCCTGTCCCTGTCAGTCACACTGGGGGTGGGACAAAGGATGTCCCTGTCCCTGTCAGTCACACTGGAGGCGTGGCAGGGGCGGTCCCTGGTGATGTCAGTCACACTGGAGGTGTGACAGGGGAGGTTTCTGTCCGTGTCTGTCACACCGGGGATGTGACAAAGGACGTCCTCGGCAGTGTCAGTCACTTTGGAGGTGTGACAGAGGCTGTCCCCAGCTGTGTCCGCCCTGCCTTTCCATGTTCTTTACAGCCTGATTCTGGATTTTGGACCTCTGTCTGGCTTGTGGTGTATGTGGGAAATGGATTTGTAGAAAATTCCCAAAAAACCTGACAGAAAGTTCACACAGTGTGCATCTGTATGCAAACATTGAGATAAGAAATGCTGACACAGACAGTTTTTGCCTAGAAATTTGCTGAGTCTCCATCAATATCTGCAGAGGAAAATGCAAGTTTGGGAAGCTCAAGCATGCCAGGAAGTTATTCCTCAACCAGACTGTTTCTTTCAGCTCTTTTGTGGTTTGTTCCTGCTAATTTTTCCATGTTCTTTACAGCCTGATTCTGGATTTTGGACCTCTGTCTGGCTTGTGGTGTATGTGGGAAATGGATTTGTAGAAAATTCCCAAAAAACCTGACAGAAAGTTCACACAGTGTGCATCTGTATGCAAACATTGAGATAAGAAATGCTGACACAGACATGCCATAGAATAGGACAGATATTGTTGAGAGTGAAATTAAACTAAAAACAAGTTTCAAAAGATAGCCTTACCAAATAAGACTAAATACTTCAGAAAAATAAAACTAAAAAAAAAAAAAATACATTATAGTAAGACCCACAAAGAGTAATTTTAGATGATTAGCTTTAAAGCATTTACAACATAGTGTAACAAAAGCTAATAAGCCAAAAAAGCACTTATAGTATTTTATAATTAAGAAATAGTTTGGTTCTATTATAACAGTGTAAATTATAACATTTCATATCTCAATATATATGAATATATTACATAACAATATACATAACATATTACATATATTACACTATATATTATATGTTATATGTTATATATTATATGTTATATATTATCTATTATCTATTATCTATTATCTATTATCTATTATCTATTATCTATTATATATAATATATTATATATTATATATTATATATTATATGTTATATGTTATATATTATATATATTATCTCACCCTTCACATTAAACTAAAAGCATAATAAAAATTTTTAAAACACCTCTCAGTTACCCCCTCTCTGAGTCAGAAAAAAGCTTTATCCAACAGGTGTAGTCAGAACTTCGGGTTTTTTGGTGTTTCTTCTGAATGGCTCATTCATGAGATGCCAGTTCACTGGACCCAAAGATGTGGAAGATCCTGGAAAATGTCAGTAAAATGTGTGTTAGGGTAACAGGATGGAGCTGGACGGAGTGAAACAATTCTCTGCACCAGAGATCCTGAACCTTCTTTTAATTGAGCTCTTAGGGTCCTGTGTGCGTGTCCTTTCAAAATCCCCAAAAGGACTGCAGCTGCAAGTTTAAGTTCAGTGAGCTGAAGGGGGTCCAGCTTCCCCCTGGGGAGGTTAAAAGCTCAAACTTTACCCAAATATCAGTGAAATCTCTCTTGATTCAGCTCCTTCTTAGAAGAAACATTGCTTAAGATGTTTTACATAGAAAAGTCTGAAGCTCTCAGATGTTTAAAGTGTTTATGGCAGTCCTAAAACAGAGTAGCCAGATGTCAGAAAACTCTATGACCCATAAAAATTTCAGATTTGATGGAATGTGATGTTAAACCCTTCACAAAATATATTAAGCTCCCATTGTGCAAGCAATGTGAACCACGAGTTCACATATTTTAGTGAATTTAACAGAAAATTTGAATTAAGAAATCTCTCCAGAGTAGATCTAACTGGCAAATGCATTAGAGATCCTCATCTGTCCTGACACACTCTTCACATTTAAGACACATAAAAGTGAGGCAGCATAAATAAAAAGGATTTGGCGTCCACAAATGTGTGTGTTGGGAATATGAATGTAGGGCAGGCACAAAACACCAATAATGCAATTTTAATAGGAATCATATAGTGTAAGGAAGTGGGTGATTCAATTAGTTTTTTGCCTTCTCCTTGAGGATTACAGCTGATTTTTGTGTGTGTGTGTGCTGGAAGAACTCATCAAGGCTGATGGGAAAGGTTTAGAATGCAGAGTTTAATGAAATCATGTGAAAGAGAAACATGTGAAAGAGAAATCAGAAAACATTTCAATATCTCAGTATTAAGAGAAAAAAAATCAAAACGTGTGGAAGTTGATGGAGCAAAGTGTGTTTGTCTGAGGACCAACAGAGCAAGATCTCTGAATTTTGTTGTTATTTTATGCTAGAAGGGAAACCCTGACAGAGTGTTCTGTGTTATCAAAGCCAGAAGGGAAGTTTGGGGCTGTGCTGATGGATTTGATGAGTGTGTGGATGCTTTCCCAGTCCAAGTGTGGGGTGTGTCCACGCTGGTTTTGTTACCCTGCACAGAATCCTTCTCTGTCTCATCTCAGCCCAACAACAGCAGCCTCGAGGCCCTGCCCGGTGCTGCCCGGGGTCTTTGATCTCACCCACGAGGCATCGTTTGCACTGCATTATTTACCACCACTGAAGTATTTTCAATTAAACTGGCAGATTAAATACTAACTTTGCCTGGCAGATAATGAAATTCTTGTTTCTTTCCCGAGGAAGCCGGCGTGAAAGAAGCACAGGAATTTGCACTGCCTGAGAGTTTCCACGTTTCCTAACAAGTGAGCACTGTGTGATACCACAGGTGGGAGGCAGGCTTGCTTTCTGGTGCTGACAGTTGTCACAAAGGTGAGGAACACCCAGGTGATGCCACAGAAGCCTCCCAAAGAGTGGGAAGCTGGAGCTGATGGAAGATTCCTCACCACGCCTTAGGTGCATCCTGTGAGACCTTCAGTCCAACAGGAAACCCATACGGAACTGCAGTGCCAAGAAGAGGAGACCTAAAAATTTCCTACCAAAAGTGTGGTTGAATCAACCCACAAAGCCTGACCTGCAGCGTGGAGATGAATGTTGAGAATTCTTTTCCTCTGAACACTCTGAGAAACCTCAAGGGAGGATAAGTGGAGATGAGGAAAACATCATTTTTATTGATGCTTTTGAAGAGGAGAACGTGGACTTGGGCCTTTTCCTCCATGATCCCTCAGAGGAAGGACACTGCTGGCACTACACCATTCCTTGGTGGTTGTGATAAACCACAATTTGGAATTTTTAAACACTGGCCATTCATCAACTTGGCCCCACACAAAACATGCTTGGCTGTGAGGATGTGGATGCATGTGCTTATGTATTCCTAGAGTTTTCCTTATGAAAAAGGGGAGGGGGTGTGTATTTGTCTTCTATGAGGGATGTGGAAGGGCTGTGTGATCCTGTGCATCCTGGGTCTAGGTGGGAGATAGCCTTTACCCTGCCCAGCTAAGTAAGATACATCTAAGCATTTAAATTCTGAAAAAAAAAATACAGTAAAAACAACAGAAATCTTCTGAGTTGTGTTGTTTTTTTTCCTAGTTTGGGAAAGTTGGAATGACAGTTCTTCCCCTGCAAGGTTTGCCACTCCAAGCAGAGTGTGGGCTCCTCATGGATTCAAGGACTGCCATTAAAGGATTGTTGCAAACTTAATTTTGAAGTGCCTCATCAGAAGGAACTGAACTGCCACTTACTGTGCTCTCAGAAGGAACTTGCTTTTCCATGTAGAAGGAGTAGGTACATTTCTTTTCCTCACCCTCAACTCCCAGTAGAACAATTTCTGGTTTCATGTCTATTTTTAGCAAGATCTGTGCAATCACAAAAATAATACAGAGCTAGGAGCATTCTTCTATACCATATCTGCATGTTGGCAGTGTACACTCTTGTTGATTTGTCATTTCAGTTCTGTATATGCTGCTAATTGTGGAGCCCATTCCCCAAAGCTGGAGGAGTTTTGGTAGGAAAAGGCAGTGCAAAGCTTCCCAAAAAAAAGCTGGAGCAATCTCCATGAGGTTACACAGAGATGTTGGAGAGTGGTTTCAGCTGTGGACCATGATCCTGCTGTGGCTTTGGCAAAGGCAGGTGGGATCCTTGGATGTTTGGGCAAAGGAGTTCCCAAGGAACTGGTGCCGCTGTGCAAGGCCCCAGTGAGGCGTCGCTGAAGGTGCTGAATGTCCTTTTGGGTGCAAAGACTTTTCTAGTAGGAAGTGGGACACAATCCTGGGAGGTGGATTGATCTCTCCTGACAGGGGCAGAGCCCCTTTCTTCCGACAAAGCAGGGCCTGAGAGGGAATCAATCCCTGCCAGACTCCTGCAGGAAGATGGATGCAGAGTTATTGTCATGGTGGGGGGCACAGGGGACACTCCATGAGTGGCTCTGAGCTGGAGCAGAGGGACAGGAAGGGCACTGAACCTCTTGGGGCAAGTCCAGAGGAGCATACCAAGGTGGACAGAACGCCTCTGCTATGAGGAAAGGCCAAGAGACTGGGAGTGTTCAGCTTTTGGGGTGACCTAATTGTGGCCTTCAGTACCCAAAGGGAGCCTACATGAAAGGTGGGGCAAGACTATTTGCAAGAGCTGGAGTGACAGGACAAGGGAGAATGGGTTCAAATTGAAAGAGAGTGGGTTTAGATTAGATATTGAGAGATATTTTTTTTCCCTGTGAGGGTGGTGAGGCGCTGGCACAGGCTGCCCAGAGAAGCTGTGGTTGCTCCTGGATCCCAAGGCCAGGTTGGATGGGGCTCGGAGCACCCTGGTCTAGAGGAAGGTGTCCTTGCCCGCGGCAGGGGGCTGGAACGAGACGACATTCGAGGTCCCTTCCAAGCCATACCATTCCATGACTCCATGAACAGGCTCCTGGAGCACCGGGATCCCCCGAGCCGCGGCGGTGGGAAGGGCCCGGCCGCGGAGCCGGGCGGGGAGCGATGGCCGGGGACGGGACGCGGTGGCCGGGGAGGGGACGCGGTGTCCGGTCCCGCCCCGCTGCTGGCAGCTCCAGCGCGGCCGAGCCGCCACTGCGCCGGTGCCGCTGCCGCGGGCTCCGCGCCGGCGCGGGGGATGCGCGGGGGATGCGCGGGGGATGCGCGGGGGATGCTCGGGGCCGCACCGGGACCCGCAGCGCCCAGGTAGGGCGGGAGAACAGGGAACGGGAAAAGTTGGGGGGNGAGAACGGGGAGCGGGAAAATTGGGGGGGGGGGGGTCATGCTGCCTGGAACAACAGCAACAACAAAAAAAATTCTTCTTTTTTATTATATATACATATATATGTATGTGTATGTATTTATTGTTGATATTATTGTTTTTCAGCCCACGCCGTGGTTTCCACACCGCCCCCCTCCCTTCTGCAGGAAATGGGTAGCCGTGGTTATGGAGTTCTCTTAAGCCAAGCAGCGCCAGCATCCCTTGGAAAGTTTTCCCGCCCCAAAGGCATCGGCAGCTCAGCTGGAGGGCAGGAGGTGAGGAATACTGCTGTTAGCAGCTCCTTATTAAATTGTCCGGAATGGCTGGAGTGGGGGTGAGTCGAACCACGCTGTTCCAGGCAGTGACTAATGAGGACTAATCCAGATTGTTTTCCATGTCTCCAGCAGAAGAAAGCGTGGCTTGTGCTCTTGATGGAGCCAGCCTTTCTGGAATGTGAATACGAGCTTTCACTTAATGCACATTGCTGTACTGCCTTGATCACTGCATTTGATAAGCCTGCTGAAACTAAATAGGCAAGTTTTACATTTATGTACATGTGGAAATACAGAAATATTTATGTTTTTACATATATGTGTTCATTAATATGTATGCTTATATTCAGATGTCTTATCTCACCTTCCAGTAGTTGAAGGGATTTTACAGAAAAGAAGGAGAGCAACATTTTACAGAGAGAGAACAAAGGGAAACATGTTGAAACTAAAAGAGGAGAGATTTAGATTAGTTATTAGGAAGAAATTCTTTACTGTGAAGGTGGTGAGGACCTGGCACAGGGTGCCCAGTGAAGCTGTGGCTGCCACATCCCTGGAAGTGTTCAAGGCCAGTTTGGATAGGGCTTGGAGCAACCTCGTCTAGTGGAAGGTGTCCTGCCCATGGCAGGGGGTTGGAATGAAATGGTCTTTGAGGTCCCTGCCAACCCAAACCATTCTGGGATACTGTAACTTCTCATCTTTAGAAAAATTTAAAATTGGAATTGTCAATTTATATTTGGTAGTGCAGGCTGGCTGATGATAGTGGATTTAACTTTATTGAACATGGTCTGCGTTTTATGTGCTGAATATGTATTTTCTACTTATCTAATAGTAGATGATTCTGTTTCTTCTGCATATCTAATCATCTCTTCCTTTCTTTGAATCAGAAAGATACCTTCACTGTTCTAAATTTATAATATCAGAAGAATCACTGGTGAAACAGGTGGTTTATTTTCTAGGGAGGACTGTCAGAAGAGCTGAGAATGGACTTACCATGAAAGACACAAAGCTCTGGGTGATGATGAGCTGCAGATGAACACAGTGTTTGCTTCAGAGGATGGATGTGAGTGAGAATAACATTTGTGACACAGGGGGGAAGAATTCAATTTATCCCAGAAAGGCCACAAAGCAGGTGGGCCACAGCTGCAGGCCACAGAAGGAGGTGGACATGAATTACTCCTGCAGTCCTCCTGGAAACTCTGCTGGAGCTGCGGGAAAGCAGGAGCTTCCCGCAGACCTGCGGTGTGGAGGCAAAGAAACCTGTGACACCTACTGCCAGAAACAAGGTGAGAGCCCAGCTGGGGAGTTTCCCCCCTCCAGCACCAGCTTCCACCTGCAGAGAGAAGATGAGGATTTAGATCACTGTTCCTCTGAGCACCCCAGGAAACCACGGACGATAACGAAACTCCGTGAGGACAACGGAAGCGCCGCTCTTGGAGATGCGCTTGGTGAGGAGCTGGAGCGCGTCCCCGAGGAAGCTCTGCCCTATCGATGCAAGAAGTGTGGCTCCTCCTTCCACGGCATGAGCGAGCTGCAGGAGCACAGGCGAGCTCACCTGCTGGAGAACTCCTACCGCTGTCCCATCTGCTCCAAAGGCTTCTCCCGCGCCGCCAACCTGCGCATGCACAAGCTCATCCATTCCAGCGAGAGGCCGCACAAGTGCCCGGAGTGTGACAAGGGCTTCATCCGCACGGCCGACGTCTGGAGGCACCTGCGCAACGTGCACAAGATCGAGCGCTCCATGGTGATCCTGGCCAGCGGCATGGCCAGGAACCCCTGGTCCGTGGTGCACCACGGCCAGCAGCACAATGTTGAGTGCCCAGATCAGGCTTGTCTTGCAAACCCAAAGCCTCAGGAGGATGACTTCAAACCTTACGCCTGCCCGACGTGTGGTAAAAGCTTCGATAAGCCCAACCTGCTGTCCAAGCACAAGGTGATCCACCGGGAGGACAAGCCCTACAAGTGTCAGGAGTGTGGCATGGCGTTTGTGCAGCTGCTCAGGCTCAAGAGACACCAGCAGACTCACTCTGGGGCACGGCCCTTCTACTGTGAGGAATGTGGAGGGACCTTCACCCGGCTGGCATCGCTGCAGCGCCATCACCGCATCCACACCGGAGAGAAGCCCTACTCCTGTAATTTCTGTGGCCATTCCTTCACCGAGTCAGGAACCCTACGGAGGCACGAGCGCACACACAAGTTGGACAAACCTTAATTTGGGGTCTCTGTGGTTGTGTTGTACCTGAATGAAGTCTGCTCGGCTGGGCTGGAAAAGCACCCTGTGGTGTGTGCTCTGCGCAGTCCAGACCCACTGCCCAGCAGTGGCTGATGCAGCAATGCTGCATCACAGGGAGCTCTGGAACTTGTACTGAGAAGGATTGCACTGCCTGGCTTTAAACTGCTTTGTATGAGAAAATAACCTAATTACCCCTGAGTAATGAATTGGGAGACTTGAGGAGACTGAAACCACTCGCATGTGCTTGCTCTGTCTCTGCTGGACTGGCGATGCATCCGCTCGAGCTTTGTGCAGGATCCGCAAGCAGAGGCCGGGAGAATTCACTAGATAAATTGGCCCTGCCCTCATGAGTGTGATGCCTCTTTGGGTTTGGAGATCTTTTAACTCGCTAACTTAGAACAGTCCAGAGTTGCCCCTCTTTCCTTGTATTTTGCTGAGTTTTTCTTTCTGTTACACTTCTTTTTATTTGGAAGGGGAAGTATCATGTTGGTTGTTAAAAAAACCCAAAAAACAAACTCCACTTACAAACCAGTTCCTTAATAAACACAACAGTTACCAGCTGTATTTCAGAATGTTTCTATCTGAGAGAGTACCAATACTTTATGCACTTCTGAGTGATGGGTTGAATGTCTGTTAATAATGGGGAAAGCTTCATTTTGGCTATGGTGGTGCATGCTCTTGGAGTGACACTTGTGTCTCTGATGGTAACACGCACACTAAATCTAACCAGCTGAGTATTGTGGAAGGAAATGTTTGAGGACACAAAATTCAAAGAGCAAAAGACCAAATTGAAGCCACTTTTGCTACTCATTGCACAAGAACCTTCTTCATTTAAATGTTTTCACACATAGGGAAGCTTCCTATAACAAAAGCAAGTTCTGTGATGTGTCCAAGTACTGCCCAAAGTGTCTGTTAGACTCTTCACTTTGATTTAGATTCAAATGGTTAGTGAAGAAAAATTTCCTTAGGAATTAGCCTGGCAGACTTGGGCAGGTGTTGACAAATCCTCCGAGGCTGTAACTTCCAAGAGGTGTGTAATGCCTCAGTGTCAGCAATGGGGCTTTAACTTTGAAACTTAATAATGGCTTTAAATCTGCTGTTAAGCACTGTGGTAGAAGCATCCAGTTTGTCCTGAAGTTGCAGCCTGAATTTCTTTTCCATGTCAGAAGGTTTTGCTTCCTTGCTTCCTTTTTTCTTACCAGCTGCCATAAATTCATTCATTTCTTTCTAGGGCTTTCTGCCTTTTCAGTGGAAGGTTGTGTAGCAGAATGAAGGTAAAGCTCCAGGGTAATGTACCTTTGCATTTATTACCAGGTTATTTAATAAAAAGTACTGATTGTGCTGTTTGTTTCCATATTTTATAGAATAAAAAGGGACGTTGGCAGCTCAGCATCTCCCATCTGTGCAGCAGCTGAGGTGTCACACAGCAGGTCCTGTCGTGTTTGATGTCAGGTTCTTGGCTCAGATCAAGATTCACCACTGTTCACAGCAAAACTTTAGCTTGATTATAAATGGGAGATTAATTGGTGTCACTAATGGATCATTTCCATTTCATTCCTCAAAGAAATCTCCAGATGAGGGAACCGATGTGCATCCTGCCCCTGAGGGATGTGTTCTGTGGTCTGTGTGTGTTTGTAATCAGGGATGGCTGGGCCCTGAGTGAGATTTCTCCAACATCCCCTCTGCAGGAAGCTCCAGTTCGGTTTTAGGTTTGCAAAGGCCTTTGATGGGGCCCCTTAGCAACAGCTCAGTCTTATCTGAAGGCTGTTCAGCCTCTCAGAGAGGAAAGATCTTTGCATGAAAACAATCCTGGCTGGCTGTGGGTGAGTGATCTGCAGAGGGAAGTCACCAGTGGTGCTCTGTGGGGACCGTGCTGTTCAGCACCATCTGAGGTGACCTGGAGAGAGGGCAGACAGCAAAGTGACAAAGCTGTTCCAGAGGCTATCTTGCATTGTTTCCACACTCATTTTCTAATCCCATTTTGAAGTTATCAGCTACAATCTTTCCTGTTCATCATCCTGCTTTTCCTTTGGGTATGGGGATGCTCCTGCTGTAGGGTGGTTTAATATCCATTTAAACTGCACCACTTATGCACACCTTTATGTTGTGTGACAGTTCTGCTTAGGCAGTTATGGTAATTGGGAACATCCAGTTATTCTGCTTTTTAGTGCTAACAGTCAGTGGAATTTGTACCTCTGGCATAATGGTGGAAGTATTTTGAGCAGAGGCCTGTTATATGGGAAGAGTAAATGATTGGTGAAATGAAAAGTACCAGGCTTAACTAAAAAGTTATTAAAAAGACACTTGCTTGGAAGGTTGGCTTGCATATAAAGTGCTTGAATGTGTGAAAGGAGTAATTAAAATGTATGATGGTTTCTGGGAAAAGTGTGTAGAACTCTCCTCAAAGAAACTTCCACAACTCCTGTGTGAGGTACAGGAGATCCCGTGGAGCTTAATTTAACCCAGAAATCAGCACTTCTGCACTTTACATTATTCATATAAAGGTTTGGAAGTCTCTCCCAGGCCCTGACCCTCTCACAGTGTCAGTCAGAGTGGGTGATAGCCTAAAACAGACACAGCCAGTCATGACATGTAGCTGACATAGGGCAAATAGACCTGCTCTGCAGCATTAGGGAGGGTTTGAAGGGTCTGCTTTCAGCAGGAGTAATTTTTCTTTGTCCAGAGGGGCCAGAATATCTGTTAGCTCATTTGGATCTGTGGAGGCCATGGAAGACACAATTCCTTTGTCACTGTGTTCACAGAGGAAGCCCTTGGACATGAGCTGAGCACACAGGGCTGGAGCCCTGAGCTAGGCAGAGGATCCTGATTTGATCACTGGATAGTATTTGTCAACAGTGGAAGATAGGAATACCCTTTGCTTTTTGCTAATTTTTCTGTTGCTTCCCTATATGACTTCTGCCAAACTCATTTCCATCACAGAAAACTGTTCTCAAAACTGAGAAGGTAGAATAGCTCCAGCCCTGAAGATTCCAGGCCCTCACTGACCTGGAATCACCAGACAACCCTTGGCAAATATGGTACTGTTCTCTTACTTTGTTAACAAAGATGTGGATGGTAAATCTGTTAGCCTTTGCTACCAAAGGTGTTGATGGTAAATATGTCCATGATTGAGGAGTGTGGATACACAGCACTTTGAAGAAAGGAAAAGCTGCTGCTGTATAATCTGTGCCCCCCTGCACACCATCCTCCTCCTCTTACACTGCCTGTCTTCTCCTGGCAAGGAGAAGTTTGAAGCAGGACTCTCCCATGTAAACAGGGAGCACCAAGCAAACCATCATTTGTCAGTTAACCCCAGCAAAGGGCATTGATATCTCTGGAGGAGGCAGCTTTTATTTCAAGTGAGGCTTCATCTGCCTCTGACCTTGCGGAGTTTCTGTTGGAACAAAGAGCTCCCACTGCACTTTTCCTCCTTCCAGACTGAAACCGAGCAGGGGCTGAGCTCTAACCAACAGAACAGCAGATGAAAAGCTTTTTTTTTTTTTTTTTTTTTTTTTTGCTAGGATAACAATCTGGAACTAGAAAGGAGAACGATGTCTTTTTTTGGGTGATTTCAGCTATCTGATGCTTTGAGCAGTAAAATTGCTGTGGGCCTGTGCAAGGTTAGAGCCATCTTCAAAGAGCAGGCCCGGAATGGGAGCAAGCCCTTGAAGCAGCTAATACAGGTCTCTGCACCAGAGTGCAGCCCACTTGTAAATTCCTTGTAGGATGTTCTGCTGAACCGCCCCTGCGCTGTGGGAATGTTGTTTTCCAGAGGAGAGTGTGCTCAGTGTGCTCCTGAAGTTCATGTAATGGCTTTCTTGTTTATCTGCTTGAAGAAATCATGAGAGCAATAAATTCCTTTTCTCATTAAGGGATCTATTTGGATTGTTGCTCCAGTGCTTTCCACCTGAGAGCAGCAGCAGTGATTTGTTCTGTTTGTCTTCAAGCTTCCAGCACACATCCTGTTGGCTGCAAAGGATTTTTAGGGAATGGCTCAGTGACTTCCATGGTTTCTGGCCTTGGATATTTCCAGGGATGAGGCGTCCTCTCTGGACAACCTGTGCCAGCATTTCACCACCCTCATCATAAAGAAAATCTTCCTTAGAGCGAATATATGGGAAAAGCAGAGCACTGACACCACACTGCCTCAGCTACTGGCACCAAATCCAGAGAACTGGGGTTGTTTTCCACCTGGTGCAGTCTTTTAGACTGTCCATGGCATTCATAACTAGATAGAGAGTATTTATCTCCAATTTAGTCAATTGAGACGTAACAGCAGCTCTAAAACAGCTACGGCACAGGGGAGTTCATGTAAACACAAATAATATCCCCAGGCTCACCTACATAATTTCCTTCTCTGTTTGCAGACTGTGACACAGCATCATGCTTGTAATGATCACAAAGTGATCACTGCAAGAGTGAAAAATACAGCTGGTTTCCCCCATCCTTGGCAGCTACAATACTGTAACAATAAAAGCACAATTATTAGAAGCACATTTCTATATTATCAGTCATAGATATTCACATGCCTTCAATAGCACTGCGTGGCCAGGTGGTCAGAGACTCGGGCTTGGCTGTTTAGCAGGTTTTGACCATGTGAAGGGCAGAATAAGAAATGCACAACAAACATCTGAGCAATGTGGGATATCCTCCCAAAGTGCAGGGGGCAGTGCTGGCAGCAGTGCCCTTGTAAAGGTCTGAGCCACCAAAGCACAAGGGGAAGCCCTCTCTCTGCTCCATCCCCAAACTGGAAGCAGGTGCCTGGAAAGACCTTTCAATAACCCAGAAAAGGAAGCTCTGAGCCCTTCATGGGAATCACGAGCAGGGAAATCTTGCTGGCAAAACACTGTTGGTCACCAAGTGAGGCTGGATAAACCAGGTACCAAGCACTAAATCTCTCTCTCGTTGTTTGGAAAATCCCTGGCTTCCGGCATTTGGGGATGCAGCAATAACTAGAAACTAATTTAAAAAAAAAAGAGAAAAAAAAAAAGGCAAAAAATTCTACTTGCCCTTTTATTCTTTACAGCAGACAGGTGAAAAGAGTATTTTGCCAGCAGTAGCTCTGAATTATTTCATGACTGCACATCCCTCTTGCGTTGCAAGTTAGAAATGTCAGTTTAATTATTTTTTAATTGCCTCAGCTGTAAGGTACCTGAAAGAAGCCATTTTTGCCAATTGTTCTTGGGCTCTGAAAGCAGCTGATTGCTGGAAAAGCAGTCTGTGCTCCTCTACTTTGGAAAGGGGATCTGCAGAGAGGAGAGTGAGGGGTGCAAATATTTTTGAAGTGACTCT